GGGGAGCGTATAGCCTGTGAGTGCGGGGAGCGTATAGCCTGTGAGTGCGGGGAGCGTATAGCCTGTGAGTGCGGGGAACACGCCTCAGCCGTGTCGGAGACAAACCGCTTAAACGCTCAAACCCCCCCAGTCGGGGTCGCACTGGCGATACCCCACTGTGAGCACACACCAGTCTGATCCCAGATAAGCGAGCGGCTCAAGGTCGCAGTGTCCTCCCCCCTTCCTTCCTCGCTCCCCCCTCACACAGTCACAGCTGTGAATGATGCTGCGGCAGGCTGGGTGCCCCCAGACACAGGGCCCGTACAGGCCAGTGCCCCCCCCAGCCAGCACCAGGTGTTAGACCATCCTGTGAGAATGCCTGAAGGAATCCGTCATGGGGGGATAGAGAGCGGCCTGGGGAAATGTAGGACTCCTCATGGTTGGTGGAGAGCTCGCCTCATTGGGATGTGAAGGCAGCACCTTACAAGCTTATGGGAAGTGCTGCTGGTTAAAGTGGCATCGGCGTTTCCCGGGAGACGAGAAAGATCTGCACAGCTGCTGCTGTTCACTGGGGTGTCGAGGCTATAACTGGCTACGCTGCAGCTTGGATGCAGTTCTGCGGTCTGCCGCTGGTCTTATGCACTGCATTGTTTGGAGTCGCCCCCCCGGTCCCCCAGTGGGACGGCCCGACCGAGTCCTCGCCTGTGTCTCCCTGCAGGAATCTCCCAGCCAAGCCCCCCGAAGAGGCCCAGAAGCACAGGCAGCAGTATGAGGAGATGGTGGCCCAAGCCAAGAAGCGAGGTGGGTGTCACTCTGGGCCGCGGCCGGGTCCACATGCCCCCCTGCCTTCTGAGGGAGGGCCGAGTTCTTATGACACTAGTGGTCTAAACTTCCCCCCAGCATGGGTGGAATGGCTAATGGTGCTGGTAAGCAGTAGCCAGTGATTTCCTGCGTCAGTGAGAGATGAGTCACGTGGTACAGTGAAGTTTAAGTATTGATTACCTCCTCAACCATGACTGGGATGAGCAGTTAGAGGTTGAATGGATGGAAGTATGGATTACCTTTACGGACTGCTGTTTGTGTCATAATGCATGTTTTTATAGCAACCCCTGGCAGTAACTACCACCTAATCCATTGGCTGGTCTGAATAGTAGGCAGGTCTTTGTGTAAGTGGTCCTGCTGCCTGTGCAGATCCTGCAGTACAGCATTCAGCTGAACTGAACCTCTGACTGAAATCTGCCCCAAACCCCGCAGAGCTGAAGGAGGCCCAGAAGAGGAGAAAGCAGCTGGAGGACAGGTGCAAGCTGGAGGAGAGCATTGGGAATGCGGCCCTCACCTGGAACCAGGAGATCCTGCCCAACTGGGACACCATGTGGGTACTCTGTGCGT